TTACATTCCCAGATGAAAAGGGCAACCTGGAATATCGGTTCTCGTTCCGGACGCATCTCTTTCTCCTCCTCCTTTCGGTGTCAATTCCTTTGTTTCTCTTGGAGCTCCCTTCAATCTCCTTCCTATTCATGACTCCATCTCTTTGCCCCACATCTCTATCTCGAACTTATTAGGTATAAAATCTTCCCAAGCGATCATTTTCTTTGTTCCTCTGCTCTTTTATGGCGGGAACCAACGGGCAGCTCTGAGCAGTCTGGGTGTTCGTTTGTATCAAAGATAGGTGGAGATACTGAATTTTAAAGATAATTGAATGGCAAATTCATCTGGGGACCGTCAAGAACAAGCGAATCAAGGGGCGTCCACTTTCTTCACTGGAACGAACCCCACCAACGGCAATCTGGCATCCGATTGTTCTGCTTTTAGTATGAAGCACGATCCCGGTATCTCAATGGAGTGGACAGTAGAGGAGCAGGTGATTCTTGAAGAAGGGATTAAAAATTGAGTGTTCTTTATCTTCTTCTTCTTTTTTTTTTTTTTCCTTTTAAAGACTTTGGTTTTTTATGAAAAATGTTATAGATTCCGGGGTTTGGTGCAAATGCTTTTGAATGTTTTGAGACTTTATTGGTTAGAATAGTTAAGGTATTCTGACTTAGAATCAAATTCAGGCTACTAAAGCTGCCAGCTTTTTCTTTCTGCTTGTTGTTGTTTGAATGATTTTGTTATGTTAATCAGGGCATTTGTAATGAACTTAATTTGGATTTGGAATGTTAGATTGAATTTCGAATATTTGCATTTCCCTGTTGTATTATTTGGTTGAATTGCATAGCATACTTGTCTAACCATGATCTTTGAGTTTCAGTGGCTTTTCTTTTTCTCGTTTTCATATTCTAATTTCCTCTCTTGGCTACTTTAATTGTATTATTACAATAATAAAAATATTGTCTTAGTAACTTTAGGATGTCTTTGTTAACAAGTATCCTAAACTTTAGTATTACCAATTTAAATTGGGTAAGCATTCCCCTGTTGTGGCCCAATGGTGGCCACTGCTGCCCAAAAGGGCAGCCGGTGGAATGCACTCTTGATCTCAGGTTCAATACCTCTCAGAACAGATACTAATCTACTAATCTAACCATTTCCTCTGTCAAAAAAAAAAAGAAATAAATAAATAAATTGGGTAACTTCAATTCGCAAATTCTAGTGTTGTGTTTTGTGCTAAAGCATTCTTCATTTTAATTAACTTTCAGTTAAGTAGTTCCTTTTGAATATGTGTCAATTGTGAAACACATTATCCTCATCGTGGCGGTTCATTCGATTTCACAATTTATTTAACAGTCTTCATTTCATGGTTTAAGTCTCTACATTTGCCTGAATTGATTCTTTTTAAATTTTTTTATTTCCTTGCAGATATGCATCAGAACCATGTGTAAGTCGTTATGCAAAAATAGCTGTACATCTACCAAATAAGACAGTACGAGACGTGGCATTACGTTCTAGATGGATGACTGTAAGGCTTGCATTTATTGCTTGTTTCTGTATAAATGTCTGCTTGAAGTTTAGGAGTTGAAATTAATAAACTATTATATTTTGGATGTATTTAAATGAGATAGTCAATCCTTTAGTTTGATAAAATTATTATGAATTCTAGTTGAATTTGGAAAATATGTACAAAAACTCCAATGGGGGGATGAATCTAAATAACCATTCTCTATATAAACATTTTGTAATGCAATATAAATGTGTTGAATGAATAAGATCTGTAAATTTGGCATAACTATTGTAATTAACTAAATTGTATAGTTTTAATTAGGGAGCCAATTGCCTTCTAGAAACCTATTTTATTTTAGGTTAAAGCCAACTAAGGTTCTTATACCATTGGTTTTTGTTCATTATAATCCTTGTTTGACTCCAATGTTCATTGGTATCTCTGAACTTTAAAGTTGATGTTCCTTAGGATCCTTCTACAACTAGAAAAATGGTTATTGGGCTCCTTAACGTGACGTTGTTAGTGACATGGCACTAATGGTGTCAAATTTGACTGTTGACTATAATGGTTGTCATTTAAAAATATTTTCTTATTTTTTGAATTATTTTTTAAGGGTTGTGGGGCCTTCAGTTTTTAAATTCGAGTTTAGAAAATTTAGCAAATCTACATGGTATAAAAATCAAAAGGATATCTCATTTCTATTTATAGTAGTGATATGAAAATGCTGTTGTTTATTTAGATATACTCAGTATTTTTTATTTTTTATTTTGAGTTCTCAAACTGATCCATTGTTTCTGCAGAAAAGGGAAATTAACAAAAGAAGGAAGGAAGAATATAATTTAAGCAAGAAAGGCAGAGATAGAAGGGTATGGTCTCCTTGGTATTATTTCTTATCCATGCTGTGTTGTTGCCTCTTTTTGCCACCAAAAAGATAAATCCATTATGTGTTAGTTGTGAGGATTGGAAATAAAAACAAACTATTTCCTTATTTTTGACACGTATATTTTCTTCAATGATAATTTGATGATTTGATGGCTTGTTTTGGTTCATGGAGCAAGTTAATTGCTTTATACTCCTCAATTTAGTTGGATGCATAATTTCATCTATCACCTTTGCTTTTTGAGTTCTTGTTTAAGTTTTCTCCAATCCTGAATTGTCTTTAATCTACTGTCTTTTATTGATTTTGAGCCTTTGAAAGTGTTAAATTTAATTAGTAGACTTCTTAGTTAACCATAATTATTGGCTGTATCTCTTGATAAGACAGGACATAGGACAACCAAAAAAACACAGATCATAAGGAATTCTTTTGCTTTTGATGTTTCAGGAAAGAGTTCTCAATTCTTCAGCAAAGTCATCTCACTTTGGTTCTCATGTTCCACATGGTTCAACAATGATTCCTCCGAACTTTGATGATGGTATTTCATACAAAGGTTGGAGTCTTATCTTTGAAGTCTTATCTTTGAAGGGTGTCTATATCCTTTGGATAGTTTTGTTTGACATTGTATTTCTTTTCTTACAAGCTTCTATTTCACTAAATTAGTTTGAATAGCAGCCTGGTTCTTCATTTTTCAAGATATTTCTGTGTTGTTTTGTGGATAGTATGTCTACATCATAGTCGGGTGACTCAAAAAACTGGAATTATAGTTTAGGACAGATGCTCTTGCTGTCAGATTTATTGTTGGCCTGTTTTTTTCATTGGGATGCGGTAGTTTGAATAATCCGCTGATACATTAACTTGTATATTGAAAGGAATCTGCATCTGTATGGTTTAACTGTAGACAGTTGTTATTATGTGATACTTAATGACTCATCTATTCTATCAATAATGATTCGCCTCTTGCATTAAATGAAGCCAAACTTTTAATTTGTGCATCATGTTTGCTAAGCATACAAGTCTTCGCATCTTCTATGTCACCATAATGAGAAATTAAATTGAATTGTGCTGTTTTCAGCCATTGGTGGTGTTACAGGAGAGCTTCTTCAGCAGAATACCCAGGCCATCAATCAAATATCTGCAAATATTGCAGCTTTGAAGGTAAATATTTGCATTATTGGCATAATCAGATTTGTTTTATTCCTGATCTCATTTAATA